AACTAATAATTAATTTTAAATTAAACAAACAAAACAAAACAAAACAAAACAAACAAACAAATAATAATATATAATAATAATAATAATATATATATATATATATATATATATATATATGCATGTGTATATATATATATTTCATATATATGCATATACATATAAAAATATGTAGGTGAATATATTTAGTGTTTGTTAGCGAAGAGGTAGTTATACATTCATGAATATGAAGCCTTCTGAAGGCGATTATATCACTAGTTTTGAAAAAGTATTCATCTCCCTCATGTACACATGTACTGGGGGATATTGGATATCCTCTTTCTTTTCTCTTGACCTCTGTGTGAGTTGAGAGATGAGAATTGAGTACTTGAGAGTTGAGACCGTAAAACTGTGTGAGCTGCCAGAGAGATAAGAAGGGCGGGCCTACATGTTCGTCGGACAACGACTACTATATACCACCCCATCCAGCTGCAATTCCATTATATTTTTTCTACTAGACTATTTTCTCCGAAACATTTCAAAATAATTTTGCGAAGTCGCCGAGTTGAAAGCTCTATTGGTTCATGCAGGTATGTATCGATGTACGAACAGGAATGTGCACTTTTCGAAAATACCAAATCTTGCTTCTAACGGTTCTCATATATAACAAATGTAAATACTACTAGTTTAGAACCCGTTATTATGGTAAAGAGTGCTTATTATACTGACTCAAAATCATGATTCATGTGCATACATGTCGATCAAAGACACGTTTGGTGTGCGTATTCAATTATATGGCTTCGTTACGATTTTCAGACCTTGTTATTCTTATATAAGCAGAAACTATAATATTGTTATGGTAATCGATCGTGGTTGAATATGTAGTGAATTTTGACTAGAAGCTCAGGAAATGCGTTTGATCGTGCAATCGACGACATGGTAGAAACACACTTTTTCTCGATTTTAGCTGCTGAAGCTTGCACTAGGGTTATAAGAATGCATATACGAAATTATTTGGTAAACATTTGGGCGCGACAACATTGAAACCATTTAGGCCCAATAATCGCGTTTTGGACGATTCCGATGTAGTGGTAAACTCCTAAGCATGGAAGGTGTTCTACCTGTGTGCGACGACCTTGATGCCTTCGCAGATTATTTAGGAAATAAGCTACAAATGTAAATTGTAAAATGTAAAGTGCAACAATAAATGAAAAAAAAAATCCCGACTCGTCCGTTCTCCCTCATATTTCATAGTCTTCTAAAATCTAAATTGGAACACATAGTTGTACTTTTCGTTCTAAAAGAGATGGTCATGAAATAAATAAAATTGGTTGGATACTTTTGTTTGTGTTTTATATTTTTCTGTTTTCACAAGAGTACACTAGGTCAGAGAATTTTAAACAAAAAATGGACATACAAAATAAAAGACAACAAAAAAAAATCATATAAAAGTGTACATTTTCATAAATCAACAATCAAAATATTGTTTTAACTATACAACGAATTCATTTGTTAGGTTTTAAAACAAACAGACAAACAAAATTACATACAAATCAAGAGAATTCAGTTCAGTTCCCAGTTGCTCAGCGTAGTGAGTGGCTGAATGCTCAGTGCAGTGAACAGTCTAAACTTAAAACTAAACAGTTGCGACTTGCGAGGAGGGTCACTGAGGTGTTCCCTGTTTGAGTTCGACTGTTCGCAGACTGCTGTTATTATATGTATGTTTAAAAAAAAAAGAAAAATATAAACAAGTGTTGTCCCTGGTGAATGTTGAGGGCCTGAGGCCCAGAGTCCTCAGGCCTCAACCCTGAGGCCACAGTGAGTTTTTGGTTTTTGTGTACATTTTACATTTTTTTTTTCAAGTACATGCGGTTTGGTTTTTTTTTGATTTTTTTAAAAACAAAAAGATTTGACACACCAGCAATAAATATGCCGCAATTGTTTGTGTGTTTTACACTTTTACTGCTTTCTCTGATAATAGAAGAGAACAATTGTTTGTGTGTTTGACTGCTTTCTCTGATAATAAACGAGAACAAAAAAAGTCAAAATATATATCGCTTTATATCAGTTTTTTCCAGGCTCTCAATATGACAGAGTTGCACAAGATCACTGCTTACTATTAAGATCAACTATACAAAATATTAATACAAGAAGTGCATGCTGAATGGGATCATACTGGCTGCCCACTATCCAACAGGCGCACTTGCTCTTTGGCGATCTTTGTCCGAATTGTTATCTTGTACCTACGTCCACGCTAGCTGCTATGTGACTACTAAACAGTGCATTTGTGGCACTAGCCCTTGATGTGCGTTCAAAACACACTTGCGGAGCAGACTAACTTGCAAATTACATGTCGGATCGATTTATATATATCAACTACATCAAAGCGTCGGGAACTTTGGCATTGAAGCCTATCTAATACAATTTTTCAGTCATGGCTCTTCTGTATTAGCATTTTGTATTGCTTGGGAATATAAGGTGCGGTATATATGAGGAGCTAGCAGTTCAAGTTCTTGAGGTAGCATCGTATAAGAGTGAGTACTCGGGATCTTATAAACGGGACACCTCTAAGTAGCGTTCAACTACTTTAATCTTCAATCGAATACGCCTTGTACAGCACTGAATTGTTGATTTATATTGAACTGCAAGAATATCATAGGCGGGCGAACAATAATGCTGATGTTTTTGCGCTGCTGAAGTCAATCATATTAAATACTTAGAACTTTCTGGACAATAGCATACACAATATAGTTTGCACATATCAAAAGCATATCAGAACATATCTACGCGACTATGTTATCAATTTACGGAAAAGAGTAATATAAATAGATACTTTCTACATAATTATATAACCATAACCAGTTGTGAATATTAGTTGCCCACATATGTTCCTGCGGTTGCGAAGATAGAGAAAGGTTGGTCAACGAAACTTGCATATTTAAATATAGAATTAAACCTGAAAATTTGAAACTTGCCTTTGTAATTGAACCTATTTATTATTCAATACATATACATATACATATATATATACATAAACATATACATATATATACATATATGTATATATACATACATACACACACACACACACACACACACACACATATATATATATATATATATATATATATAGTGGAGTACTTCCTAGCCGTATATCTGACGAAACGAACTCCGCGCCGGTATATCAACTCCATCCTCGGACAACTGCAGCTCACCCCACACTCAAGACGAACTGCACGGTACTTCACCCACTGCGCAAAAGCAAAACACTTCTCAATCTGGAGTTTGGCGTGTGTCCGTTTATCTTTATCCGGAAACATACGCTTCAGAAGGATATCATTCTGCGCCGGAAGCACATGTTTTGTTCCGGACCCTGGTACAAACGGTGTGTAACTAATCACACCACATTTGCCACCGACCCCATACCGAATTCATGGCATCTCTAATACGTGCGGAAGTGGTGCTTGTACTGACACCACCTTGACCGGACCACCCGAACGCGCTAACAAATCGTGCGATTTGCCACGAAGCCAAAACTATACCTGAGAACCGACCGGCAACAATGGTACGTTCTCTCTTCTGATATTGGCGCGACTCTGCTGTTCCAGCTGAGCTCACCGATCTCGAACTGCCGCGACAGCGTCACGAACCATGGCTTCTGTACCTTTTTCAGACTCCAGTAAGGAAAACACTCTGTTCTGCAGCTCCAAACGCTTCTGTCCATAGAAGTCCCTGCCAGTCATGTGTAAATATGGCGAGAACCCCTTGACTGAGTTGCGCGTGGCGTTGTAAATGCGCACCATCTCATGAACCAAGTGAAGCCACGCATGAGGAGAATCATCTGCTGCTTCAATATCTCTGCGAAGCCAATCCTTCATCGTCCTGATGAGTGTCTCTGGTCGCCAATTACCCTGATGGCGATCAACTGTGATCCAGTGCGGCTCAATGTTACGACGTTCACAGAACGTAGCCACGTCTCCGTTCTGGGATTTCTTGTCCGCATCCATCATGAGACGCGCAGAAGACCTGCTCCTCCATAAAGCGTACTACAGAGGGCCCATCTGCACTCGAGCTGAAGACTCTCGCAATCATCATACGCGTCTGCGTGTCAACAGCCAGCAACACCTTGGATTTCCCGTTTACAAGGTCAAAGTCCATGAAGTCCATTACCTCGCGCATGGTTTCCTCAGGGCGTATCGGTTGCTGAAGGAGACCCTCCTTCCCCAAGTCGTCAGATATCGCTTGGCAGGCGTCAAAACTCTGACGCACATGAGTGCACATCTCTATCATGCCACTCCAACACAGAGCGTGTGTGTGCGTGTCAGCTGGTCTAACCGTTTAGCACTCGCATGCGCGAAGAGCTCATGGGTATAGCGTACAATCCGCTCAATAATTGTACCCCCCCATCTCAACCCCAAAGACCGAACGCTTCATCGATTGAAGTCGATTTTGCTTCATATATTCTTCGGGTTCATCCACTGGATCTTTCTCCATCTTAGCGCGTTCCTCAGCACCAAGAGGCTCAGGAACCACCGGTTCATCCAGATCCATGTCGTCCTGAGCAGGTAAGGTATCCACAATCTTAGCCATATCTTTCTGCCGATGCGTTAGCTTTGGGGACTTGGCATTATGACTGCGTGTGTACACCGCTCCTAACGACCCCCCGGCCTGGGGCATGCCAACTTCTTCCAGTTGGGCTTCTGCTTTCCTCACCGCCTGATCCAGCACCTCGCTGGAATCACGCCATGACTGTGAGGAGAAAGCACCTACCGCAGAGATAGGTGTGGCCTCTACCCCAGCCTCTTCCGCTGGGAGCCCACACCAAACCCTCTTACCACTCGGATGAGTCACAACACCCACTGTGTCTTCTTGCACCATACAGGACACAACCTCATTCTCACGTTTTACTGTTGTCGCAGCCAGCTTCTTAAAGAGGAGCCGCTCAGCCTACAACGTCTCCCAGAAGTCCTTCCGCAACTTGTGCGGTCTGTAAGAACTTATGTGGCATACGAGAGTCACGAAGTCAGGCGCCGGCATAGACTCCTGCCCATGCTTCAGGAAAACACCTTCCTTCGGGTATGTGACCATCGTATCAGCCGAGAGAAGCGGAACCATCACCTTGATACCAGCAAGTTCTGAGTGATGCTGCTGTGCGGGATAGATCGGTGGCCATTAGAGATGAAGTAGCGAAGGAGGCGCAGGTAAAGGCGGCAGACAAGAATAGAAAAGAGGCATCAGATTGGCAGCCGGGGCAGTCGGTTTTGTATACTGGTAGGTCGAAGGATAGTTAGTTGACGAAACATATTTAGTGAGAGGCACAATTGTTATGAGGGAACACTTACAAGGGATGTACGAGGTCAGATTTAATGGGAAGGTTAAGTCAATACATGTGAATCAGCTTAAGGTGAGGTTAGAGGATCCTGAGAATGAGGCCAGTAATAGAATGTTTAGGAGGGAAGCTTGTTTGTATCTGGCTCTACAATTATACTGGTGAAGGGGCAGCTAGAGTTACAGATCTCAATGAAATGGTGGCAGTAATGCGATCAAAAAGATGGGGAGGTCTTGGTTATATGCCATGAATTCAATTTTTGGTATATATGCTGATACGATAGTCGATGCGGCAAAGCGAGGTGAGAGTAAGGGCGTGGTAGAATATACTTTAGATTTGGCTATGAAGCATCACGTCAATAAGAACAGGTGGAACAAGTTGCAGATGTTCTTCCAGGTTGCGAGGGATCCGATTTTGCGGATGAAGCAGTTGAATAAATGGTTGAATGAATGAACTCGACACTAATGTCTTGTTCATTGGGGAGGTGTAATGTCATCCATGTTTACCTACAATTTAATACAATGTCGGTGTTGCAAGAACCGAACTGTTCAGTAATGTTCCTGACCGTTAATAAGAGTACGAGAACTTCCAAGTGTAGTCGATAACTTATAAGTATGAAAGCTAATAAGTTTGGAAAGTTCTAAGTTGTATTGTGCGGTTTGTGAGGTGGGTGTATGATTGGTGCTTTGCGAACCGAAGTGCGGGGTAATATGAGCTGGAGGTTGGCAGGTAACGATATATGTTGAATGGACTTGTAGGCTCGAAATTGAGTAGATACACGATTTGATTGGCGGCAGGATTCTCAAGGAAATCCTTCGGAGATAGTATAAACACGTGGTTTAGTTCATTTAAGAAGTTCATTCTGCTAAGGTAGACGTTTATTCAAAGACGTTTATTCAACTATTGAGGAAATAAATCTAGGTTCACCGTTACATTGTGTTTTGAGTCGATCTAAGATTACAATCCTCTTTTGATTAGTTTGAAAATCATTTTTATTTTATATGACATATTTTTAGTATTCGGGGTTTTTTTAAAAGAAGAAAACAGGACCAGAGAGTAGTATTTACTATTTATTCGTCGATGTGATGCCAGTTTGGGACTCCGGCCTCTGGGACTCTGGTCTCTGGGTGTTCACTGTTCAACTGGTCAACGTTTCATACAACCGTACACATATTTTGTTTTAAAAACAAACAACGAAACAATTTTGTTCTTTTTTTAAAACAAAACGGTATATTTAAATAAAAACTATCTATTTCGATATAAAATTACATTCTTATCTTTCTCACTTTTTGATTCGCATTTTTCGAATGAGTTATTTTGATTGTTTTTAAAAAACAAATAAGAACAAACAAAATGAAAGAAAGAATGAAACGCTTTATCTACACATATTCATATTTGTTTTATAATTTTTTTTTTGGAGTGCCAACTATTGAACTATTTAGTATATACCGTCTTCCTCAGGTCACAGGTGCCAACTGCCAAAAGGCAGACAACAAGTGGGCCAAGTTTGTTGTGGGCCAAGTCCCATAACTCCCAATCCAACACAACTCGAGAGTGCGAGAGTCTATTTACATACAACTCTATAAGTGATAAGACTCCAAAGACTCCAGTTACTCCACAGTCCTAGAGACAAAGCGAGATGAATAAAGACCTTTTTAAGAAAAGAGCCAATCTGTGTATCTGAAGTTCTGACTTCTGAAATGAAACTCTGTGAGTTTGAACTCTTTAAAAATAAATGAAAGTGACTTCAAAGTTCGAGAACGGAATTAAACTTTTTTACCTAAAAAGTCAAAAGAACATAAATATTTACATAAAGAAGCATTCCTTTTCGCATTGTTTAAAAAAAAACTTATAAGATAAAAAGCAACTGTCCTTTCAGTCTTCACTCGTGAACAGTGAACAGTGAACACTGAATTGAGGTGGCACAGTCAGACAGGAGGAGTCAAGTGTGCGCAATGTTTTAAAAAATTTAAATTTTATTATTCTTTATATATATAACGAATGTCGCTGGAAGTAGCAATTCATATATAGTTATACGAGGCAATAAAAAACACAATATGAACAACGTACGATTTGAAGACGTCGCCGAAGAAGCACATAGCTCGTCCTCCTATAATCCCGAGTCAAAGTCACAGATATTATGTGACCCAAAATCGAGTAACAGCATCACAACGGATGAGTCACTTCCAGAACGAAGAAACACGAGTGTCGAAACGGGGTTCAGCACTTTCAAGAGAATATGGAGGGAAAAGAAGATAGCACAAGCTGATTTCGAGATTGTTGCGCATTGGGCCGTCATTGGAAATGTTCTTGCGGTGCTGATATTCTATGGGGTTATGTATACATGGTGCGCGCTGGTGTTGGATACACAGGACCCTTCTAAAGTCGCAATGCCTTGGGGAAATAACGACACAATAGTAGTACTTGTTACAATCACATTTTGTACCACCTTCATGCTCATTGTGGTATGTACCGGATGCTGTATATGGAAGCGCGACCACCCACTAGTGAAGGCTCGGGGGATAGTTTTCGTGTCTGGAATAGGAATTACGGCCCTACTGGTGTCCGTAACTCAATACTCTATAGTTCTCACATATTTTCTACCTACTCTATGGGAAGGAAGGAAGCATCACCTAAACACTTATCTCGCAATGGGAGAGTACATAACCGTCACGAGTACCTTGGCACTGATCGTTGCACGCGAAGGTATTATCTTTATGATTTTCATTCAAACACCGTACAGGGGAAAAATATCGTACAATGGACACTTCGCTAAGGTTGTAGGAGGCATGTTTATTCTTTCCTTATTCTCGTTTATGCCATACCTGTTGGCCACGGTGCTAGATTGGGAGGGAAGAATATACTACACTTTGTTTGTGCTCATACCTTGGGAGGTGGCAATAGGGGTGCTGGCATACTATACCTATAGAACCCGCGATGTCAGCTCGTCTTTTTCGGACTGGAAGAGTAATTTCCGGATTGGCATTGTATTGGCTGTCGGCAGCAATTTAATTGTATTTTCGATGGTGATAGATTTCGGCGCCCCAGAATATGGAGTCTTGCCGGGTTCATGGGAGTTGTTCGTTTTCTACTTTGCCTCAATGGCTAAGATTGCATACACGGTGTTGGACTTATTTGCTCTTCTGGCGGTCATCTCGGTGAGCGATATGAAGATAATCGGGAAGTTGAGTCCCAGAGCCACTACATTGGTCCAATGCCAATCCACGGCGGTTACAACCTCAGTAGCCGTAAAACAATCTAGAATTCCTTCGCATGGAAATCCTTCATTGATGACCACTGCATCCGTTACGTCGATTTGATATACGATGATAGAGGTCATAGTATAATTTGTCAATCGCGCTTCAAAAGTCATCGATTGACACAACGTATAATGTCATCCTGCCGGCACCTGCTGCAGTCGCAGGAGCATCACCAGACCCATTGTAGTTCAGAATGCAACTAATATTTATTAAACCATCAATATGCAAGGTTTATGAACTTGCAAATGTCAGAATTGCAAAGCTGAGATACGAGCTAGTTCGTGCTAGCGCCCTTTAGTGCTGATCTGGGAATGGTATGTCCGACAGAGAACATGCCTTGAACCCGTAGAACTTCAACGGATCCTGCTGATTCTGAACAGGGAAGTCGTGTTCGCTAATATTGTAAAATGTCATCGTATAATTTTAATTGAAGGAATTTGTTAGCTTATAGAGTACTAGATCTAAATCTACCCTTGGTGCGGTGTAACTCATACGTTATATGACACAATTTTGTCGAATCGCGCCACCTCTCAGCGATAACATCTCCTTACTGGAAATAGAGGGGTTGCACCCTTAGCGCGACCATATACACATGAACATCATAGTAAGGATCTTTTCTAATACTGAAATGTCCGTTATCGTTGCTAAGATATCACGTTTTTTTCTCAATCGCGCGATTTACAATATGTGCTGCATCAAACTTTTTATTTGTAGTGTAGGAATACAAGGTGATTGAACGAACAAACAAATGAATCATAAACTATTCCAAACATTTCTTTACAGTTTCCTTCTTAATTCCTTACAACAGACAGTATAGAGCATATAAGTAACACTAACTTTTAGACATAGATATCTTAAAAATTATAGGCACAGATACCTTTACACTAGTGACAGGCAGAGAGAGAGTTCGTGACGAGTTCAGAGCCCGGTAACAAGTGCCTGGCTGAGCAATAAAGAATATAAAAAAGGTTTAATGGTTTCAAGATTCAATACCAATTAGCACCTCACACACGATACTGCCACCACTGGCCCAATACATGGGCCTAGATGTTAATACATCTCCGCGAAGTTGACTCTTGACGATGCCAAAGATTAATTGACAGGGTCTGCGTCAAGTAATATTTTTCCGTGCTCTTACGCACTATCAAAACCAAATTATTTTATTTTCATATTCATAAGCGCTATGGAATTCAGACGGAAAACGCATACCAGCTCTATCAGGTATTCGAAAATGCGTGCTAAGGGCGTTTGCAGTTCCCAGCATCAAAATAAAATCGGCTCAACACCGACTCTGAGACGGTTTATAACGTCAGGATCATTGATACAGATGTAAGTCATATCCAGCTTTTCATCAGGCCTTATGACCGCACTCGCCGCAGAATTTGGCACCAGCTAACTTGTGACCACATTCTTGGCAAAACTTGGGCTTTTGCACAGCCTCCTCCTCTGCGTGCTTCTCCTTTTTCTCAGCCTTTTCGTCACCAAGACTGAGCTGCTCAACCGCTTCGTTGAGCTCACTCACCGGCACCTCAGCGTGACCTGCCGCGTCATCGACGGGAGCGGTAGGTACAGTTCCTTCGGGCAAAGTGTGCCCATACTCCCCTTCAGGCGCTCGCGGGTGCTTTGGCCCATCTTCTGACACGGGCGCTGATGCTTCCCCATACTCAGGATGACTAGTCGGTGGCTGCTGTGGAACGTCTTCTGCCTCGGGTGCCGACGCATCCTCGTACGCGGGGTTACTAGCCGGTGGATATCCCTGTCCCTGCTGGGGCGGGTATCCATATTGACCCTGGGGAGAGGGGGCACAATACTGTCCATATTGTCCAGGGGGTGGGGCACCATACGGTCCTGGCGGAGCCCCATATGACCCTGGCGAGGCCTCATACTGGCCCTGAGGCGGTGCACCATACGCGTCCTGGGGTGGTGCGCCGTAGGGGTTGTAGTTTTGCTGAGGTGGATAACCTTGCTGCTGTGGAGGTGCATTAGATGTATGCGGGATGTTGGTGTTCGCACCGGGATAGCCAGGGGGAGCGGGACTGCGGGTAATAGAAGAGACAAATTAGGATATATAGAACACGTACGTGAATGTGGACATATCATGCACGGACACAGTGCACCGTACACATCCATCCGGAGACTAACCCACGTATGTGGGTAAGGCCACAGTAAGAAATAAGTGGAAACTACAAGTCGGAAATAACGGGATCCAAAAGGCACCTGATTCCACGTCACACCCTTTATATTCAGTAGTAGATAGTACACTACCTCAGACACGAGGTATATCACGCAAGGTGGTATTTGACACTCAGATCCTCGTCATACAAGGGAGGAGTAGAGGCTTGACTCGGAAAAGACCACAGATCACATGCTTGCCTACAAAGGACCGACATACATCAAGGTTGACTGAGTACTGTTAACGGGCGTGCACAGTATACCAGTACAGCAACACACAAACCAGAGGACACAGGCTCAACACAACACAAACTAATGTACACACAGCCCAGAGAACACAGGCTCAACACAGCATAAAAGAATGTACACACAACCCAGAGAACAGGCTCAACACAACACAAACGAATGTACACACAACTCAGAGAACAGGCTCAACACAACACAAACGAATGTACACACAACTCAGAGGACGCAGGCTCAACACAACACAAACGAATGTACACACAACTCAGAGGACGCAGGCTCCACACAGCATAACG